TCGCATCACGTATCGGTTCTAGTACCAATTAAATTCTCTAGCTCGACTAGCCGGTCGTAATCGTCGTAGGCAGCATACTTAGAGTATCGATCGCGAGAGAAGATATTTATATATATTAGAGACTAGGGATCTCAAGCGGATGACTTTTTGTTCATAGGAAATGTGATTTTCAAATACGACAGAGAATACCATCATCGCGGTCAAAGTTAGATGTTTCGAATAATACAATATATATTCTTTATTAAATAAATTTATTTCAAATATGATTGCGCGCCGATAACTTTCGGATTTTCAACACTATCAGTCTGAAACGCTATTACTGTCTTCTAAATTCCCCCTAAATTAAATTAGAAAAACTGTAAAGAACTTATGATAAATGTGATTTTATTTCATAAAAGAACTATTAGATCTTTAGAATTTATTTAATCTTCCAATAGTCATATGATTTACTCAATTATTATAGATGATTTTTCAATCTAACTTCTTTTCACAAAAATTATAAAAATTAAATATTGATAATAATATTTAGTATAATATGAAAGAAAAAATTATAACTATATAAAAGTATTTCGTAAAGAGCATAACATATTTAATCTCCTTGAATAGTAAATTAGAAAGTGCATTACTCAAGAAAAAATGCAAGATACAAATATTCACTTGAGATCCCTCTTTAGATAGGTGAACAAATTTTAGTATAAATTCAAATAATTTATACGCAAGGGTGATGTAGAGTAAATAACTTTAAGCAATTTTAACTGACAATGAGTAATCTAACGGTACACGGATAAACGATGTATTGCGAATTCTATTTCCACATGATTTAGCTATCATGCTCGATCAAAAAATCGGCAGTGCTGTTTGTCTTCAACAAACGAACATTATTCGATAGTTATCTTCACATGTTGTATGCCCTCGTAATGTTACTTGGCTACTTAATAATATTCGCATTTACTATAGCCGGATATTTATCATGCTATATAATTTCTTTTTCTCTTTTTCTCGCCTCTTTACCTACATATATATATATATATATATATATGCGATATAAACGGACTATTGTATATAAGAGATTGTTCGTTTAAAATATATAAAAAGAACGTTTTCTGTTAATTCCCGATATATTATTTTTTCCCAATTTCATATTTTCGACATATTTCTCTTGAGTAAATTTTTATTTCAGGTAATGAATTAATAAAAATAATTTATGTGAAATAAATTCAATAAATTTAGAAAATAAGTTTTATATTTAACAATATTTATAACTGTCCCATCATTTTCTTGATACTTTCAGAAAATTGTAGGCTTAGAAAACGAAAATTCATGATCTATAATATTTTTTTATCTATCACTGAGAGATAATAAAATTCAAACGCGTTGCATCTATCGAACTTCAACTGCAGTATTACATAAAAAAGTCTATCTTCACATATATTATGCGAAGATTATATAGCATTAAACGAAGACGTTTGACCTTTTGCTTGGAAGGTCGTAGAAATGTTAATCCAGTGCAACATTCCGCCCTTCTGATATCGAGGGGATGAATCTAAATCGATAAAACAGATATCAACTGACTACGCGTTTCACGAAACATTTCTACTTATAATTTATAATGTAAACGATGAAAGAATAATTTTACATTTTGTTATGCAAAATTGCTTACATATTTTATTTGTTAAGTTCTCCATATAATTGCGATTATAAAGCAAAGATAATGAATTTTTTATTTGACGAATTGACATTGGAATCGACATTATTTTAATCTGCACAAGTATCAAATTAATAAATATAAATGATTAAAATTATATTATAATTATTAATTCATCTGGTTAAATAAAAAAAAAAATAAAAAATATGTATTATTTTTTTTTATTTTGAAATCAGAAACTTATATAACTTCAAAAGAATGCAAGTAAGTTAAATGGTGAATGTTATCCACAAATCTGGTGCATCTATAAAAATACACTAAATTACTTTAAAAAGATAATTATTGAAAAAAATTAATTACTCTTCAATATTTAATATAAAATATAAGCAGCAATAATTTATAATCTGAAAAAGAAATGATTGATCTCTGTTATGTTTTTATGACATTTAGATAGCAATATCTCGATATTTCAGAAATTTTATGATTCACCCGCAATCAAGGATGAGATAAGTTTATGAACTATGGGTCGTTTCACTTAGACATTTCATGGGTAGAAGAAAATTCCACCCCCATAAAAGCGTGATATACCACGGCGCAAACTCCGTGTGAGAGAACTCGCGAGTCGCACGGCTAGACTGGCAGACTTGTTTTCAAACAGTCGTCGGAGCTGGTCGGTTGCATGGCTATCTCTCGCGTGTTCGCGAATCTCTTCTTCGAAATGAAAAGATTGTGTCGATATGATGATAATTTTGCAAATTGCGGACGAAAATGATCGTGGAATCATTGTCCAACATTGATAATTTAACGAGGGACGCGTGCAGATCGCGTATATATGTGAAATTAATTCTCGTGATTAAATAACGCGGTTTCTTCGTAATCAAATGTCACTTGTGCAAATATAAATAATACTAAAGTGCAAATTTTAAAGTGACTTATGAAACGGGAACAATAAAAACGATGAAAGTGATTGCATCGATAGTGAATCGCAAGAAAGATGTAAAGAAGTTGCAGTTCTTTCAATTATATGATCCGAAAAATTTATGTCAAAATTTTGAAATGCGAGAAATTTTTTAGAAAATTTTACGAAGACTTGCTATTATAACGAATACAATTGTTATATTATGAAGATTTCAACATTCGTAAAATATACATCGTCGAACTTCTGCAATTATTTTCTTCTTGAAGAAAGCGCAGTTATTTACATTAGCTATGCTTTAAATTCAGTGATCGAGCGAAAAAATTCATCTAAAAGAGTACTTGATGCTCATGAAAAGTTGAGACACGCAATCAGCTTAAAAGTAAAGCGGCTTCGATTTTATCGGAGATTCGAACGAGTAGTAAATCTCGCTTTAGTCAGACGACGAATATCGAGAATGTAAAAAAATATTCTGCAGTTGTAATTTTTTTTTAAGGGAATTCAGATTGATGATACATAATCTATAATACGAAGAGTTTAATCGTTTCTCTCGCTGTGTCCATGTTAGTTTAAATAAAGAAAGACGCAAAAAATTTATTAAAAATTTTACAGGAAATGGAAATGAAACATAATGAAGTTATGCATGCAATTAAAAGACGATCAACAGAAGCAGATAACACGTTTATGGCACTAACGTTTCAAGGATAAGAATCCCAAAGGTATTATAGGCAAGATAATCACTTATTTCAAGGTTGCAAGTGGAACAACCATTAGGGATTTCGTCGTGAGTATCCCTCAGAGAAAAGTCTCTCTCTCTCTCTAACAACAATCAACATTGATTGTTCATCTATAAAAAACGCAAGAGCGTACTATTTTCTATTTCCTGTTTCAATAATAACATATTGACATTACCATTTAAATATCCAATGGAAGAAAATTTTCTATAGAAGAAACTTTTGCGTGACAAAAAGGTTGGTTTAAAATTTATCGATGTGTCAGTCTGTTCATTGTAAAATGGCCTTTTAATTTTAAATCATATGCCTGCAAAGTTACGAAGGACGAGAGGAACAAATTTTAACAACGTCATTTCCGACGGTAATGGTGACACAGAAATCCGGATCAATAACGCATTTTTTGAACAGTCATTTAAATGTTCGCTTAATAGTGTCAAGGTAATGAGATTACTAGCGTCTCATTCTACACTATTCTAGCATCTATTCGCAACTACGTGGCTAATGAAGTTAATACGTGGTAATTGCCCTAAGTGCATCGGACAGGTCGAATGCTTCTAGCAAAAGAACGGTAGGGAAAGGACTACGCAAACACGGGAGGAGACTTCTTTGTTATTATACATTATGCGATAGAGATCGACAAACGTCCGATTACACAGATTAAATTTTGATCAAGAAATGGGACAACCTTCAACGATTCAGCGAAATCAATTGTGACTCACATGCCTAATGAGTCACTCGCGTGAGACACGATTGAAGCTTACTACGAATCTTCTTTACTGTTGAATTGGTAATGTTAATCGAAATTAATTAACTTCCAAGAAGAAAGGAAGAAGAAGAAAAAGAAAAGGAAGAAGAAATTACGAGCTATTCATAGAATTCGAAATAAGCCGATTAATTTTTGATGGACACTTTTTCGTTCGCCAATTTTCATCGCTCGAGAAAATAAAAGATTTGAGAGCCAGGATCATTCCATATTTTTTGACAAAATGACATGACGTGCGTCACGACGCGTGTCGTGCCTATAAGAGAATGGTAGCTATAGCAAAATCGTCTAATCGATGGAAGTCGTGACATACACACTCATCTACATATACGCATTTGTCGACCGACTTTGCAAACTTCTACTTTTCAAACGAAAATAGTATGACTGAAACAAACAAAGATAATTCGCAACGAAATATTTCGCCTGCGCACGTGTGCGTCTCAATAGATAATATCACGAAAGAATGAAAATGGAGCTGTTGCGAACCATCGATTCTTAGCGTGAAGCGAATCCTCGATCCTTCGATCTTTTGATTTTGTTGTTTTTTTCTGCGTGAGTGACGATTAAACTTTTACAAAGCCGCTCGTTCTAATGGGAAATATCGACATAAAACGTCGCTATTTTTTGTGTCACATATTCCGAGAGGAAGTAAACATAATATGCACTATTTGATGTGAAAATGAATTATCAAACTCGGACAGTATTAACTTTCGAGCCGCAACATCGATAAGAGAATAAAGATCAAAGCTTTAACGAATGAAATAATTTTTCAACAAGTTCGTGCTGGAACTCAGTATCCAGGATCATGCGTTTGTCCATAAATACACATATATTACATTTATGATCGGCGTGGAATTAAAATACGTGAGATTTAAACTGGAAAATTCAACAGAAGATTTTAAAAATATATAGGTGTTACGAAGAATTGCAAAATATTACGCGATGGGTCGGAAGCAGAAACGCCGCCTAATACCGGAACAAGATCGTAGAATTTGCGGTAGCATTTGCTTCTTCCAGTTTACCTTCGTCATCAGTTGCGTGGCTTTGGTTTATCTCGGCGTAGCGATCTACGCGCCGTCATATAGGTAAAAAAATGATGTATTAAATCTGGAATTAAAAACTAATTTCCGGCATATCGATTTCATTTCTTCATATCGCTTCCTCACTCTTCAAATGTGACACACTTAAAAATGTGATTTTCAAGTTATCATGAATAAATTAAATAAACATTATCTTATACTGAGAAAAAAAATATAGTTAATTTTAATAAATATTTAGTTCAATACTGCCAACTAACCATTTACTTATAGTAAATAAATGTGCAATAAAAAAATTGTTAAATTAAATTAATAGTTTTCGTACCAAATAAATATATCTTTATATTTAATAAATATTTAGTTGACAGTATTCACCTAAATATTTATTAAAAATGACTATATTTTTTCCTCAGTGTATCAATCATCAAAAGTGAACTAAGGCTGCTTTCCATTTAGGAGACATAGTCGATACGAGTTCTATCTTTATTATTTATTGAATGCCAGAGGATAGAACAACGTTTGCATCTCCTAAAAGGATAGTAGTCTAACTTTATAAAAAATCATCAAAATTGTCACAAGTGAAAAGGGTGATTTAAAAAGAAAGTCAAAATTCTTATCTGTCCTTAAAAAGGATGAATTTTTTAAAGATTGTGAAACGTAAATGACAAAAATAACATTTGATCGTGTTAAGAATATATTCTTCTTTTCGATATTATTTAATTTGTCGATAATTTTTCTATTAAGTTGAAAAATAGTTATTTTCCTTTCTTTGGAAAACTTAATTTTTTTAGTTGTGTTATTTTTGAAGTAAGTGAACGTTATATTTAATTGTTGGACATGTAGACATTAGTTTTTCTTTATTCAAAGGATTTATTCCTTCTTAAAATCTTCTCGCAGAAGACTGTTATATAACGTGTAGCATCATTAAGGAGAAATTACTGATGCTATTCAAGTCAGAAATATTATTCGAGACAAAGCTGAAGATGTTCGCTGCTTATTTCTGGGGTAATCTGAGAAGTGCGTTAACGACGCCAACGTAATTTCAGAGCTTTCCACATTGGCATTGAGCCGGAACCGGTGATGTGCCAAACTGTTAATGCCTCGATGGTGAATAATTGCGGCTGGGCTAGTTGCGGCGAATGGTGTTTGACGAAGTCGAGCGGCTTTTGTCCCCAGTTTCACGCAACCGTGAGACGTAATGGCACTGATGTGATTTTCGAAAATTGCACCAAGTTCAATACAATCGCGTGCCCTCAGGTGCGTAGAACGTAACAATACTATGCGTTGCAATAGTCTTTTTTGCTTTGTACTTGAAAACCTAATTTTGCTATAGTTTAAATGTCACTCAAACATGAACTATTTAGAAAATTTTTGATCGATAAAGTATATTGTTCACATTTATGTGTAACAGCTGTAACAAGTACTATATATAAATTATGGCTAAAACTATTAAATTTTTAACCTGTTGATAATTTGACTTTAACCTTTAGAAAACGGATGGATCTATTTTCCAAATTTTACAGCATATTCTTAGTAAAATTTGTTATAATTTATTATATTTCTCGCCTCAAACACATTGCTTCAGAACTATTATAGTTTTTAAATTAACGCTTTTAAGGCCTTCACGAATATTTTCTTCAAAGATACCAGAAGGTTTGTGGGTTATCGCCGTGTCTTTATCTATTGCTAATGCCAACGTTTTGTGAATCTTGCTGTTCACTTCATCAGGAACGGACTGATACTAATATACAATATTTTCCATCCTCTGGTGATAATGCCAATATTTAAAAATGGACAAATCTGAAAGTTTATTACTAGAAATTTTTGAGTCCGCTGAATTTAAATTTGAAATCAGAAATATCAAAAATTCAAATTCAAAATGACAGATCATATATGGTGGCTTAGTAACCGAGTAAATAAATTTTCGTGAAACTAAGATGTTTTTCAAATTAAAAAAATAAATAACCAAAAAGAACATATAAAGTTTCGAGATCGTACTTTCTAAATTCTTTGGAATGAAATCTCACTCTAAAGAGTGAAAATTCTATCACTCTTTTCCAAGAGTTCTTAAAAAAGAGAGATAGAATTTCCAATCTTCAAGAGTGGGATACTTTTAAAGTGAAATTCTACTTCAAAGAAATTAGAAAATATAAAATAAATTGAATGAGACGTATGCAAGCAGTGAAACGCGAATATGATTTATTAGTATTATAATAAGGCGAAAGCTTTTATTTGCAAGTAAGTATAGGTACTGGTAGCCATTAAGTAATTAATTTTAGTATTAAGAGTTCGAAAGAACAAGTATTAACGATAAGAACAAGCATAGAAATTACAACATAAAAAAATAGAACACTGTAGTAGTGCTCCCGTCTTGTAATTTACAGAAAATAATATTTTCAGATTATAGAAAATAATATTTTTGCAAAATAATATTTTGTTTTTAAAATACTTTTTAAAATACAAATTGTATTTAAAATGTAACAAAAACACACACACACATACACACATAGGGATTTGTACAAGATCTTGCTTAATTTGATCTTTTTGTGGAAAGAATTAATGGAAAACGATATTGCGTTAAAGAAAAGAATTTTCCAATTTGTTTATTTAAATGCTAATTTTAATCATAATTAATTTAAATTAGTAATTTGATTAGTCTCTCTCTCTCTCTCTCTCTTTCTCTCTCTTAAAGAGATATGAAACTTCATTTAAAATTTTAACAAAGAACTGAGAGAGAACACCATTAACGAGTTCAGCATAATCTCCGCAAGTTGGGAATATTTACGGTATAAGATCTAATACTAAAATTTCATAGTTTCTTTCAATGCTGTCTCGTTAGAATTAGTAGAACAATTACAGTCTTGTATAATTATCTAATCAACTCGGAAATCTTCAGCAAAGATTTTACAGGGAAGACAATAACGAGCTTTTCTCGTATGCTTCGTTGATTACTTGCCGTAATCTTTCCCCCAAAGCTTTTTCCACTTGACGTAGTATGAAAGTTCTTCTAGGGTGATGGAGACGTACGTTTACCCTTCGGATTTCGATCACTTTATTTCACGGTACATTCCCAACCAAGCGTGATCGTAAGTTCCCACACGATCGGATGCTTTCCTACGGACTAGGCTTCTACTATCTCGTGGGAATATTACATTTTTACTGAAGCAGCGTAGACTCCAATTTCTTCTCCGTGCTGCCAAACGTCGATGTTGCGGAAGATTCTATTTCATCCGAATAATAAAATGTAACAAGATACTTGTTGTGTTACTCGAAATTATCTTCATCATTAATAATAATTCCTTGAATTCATGGCTTTGATATTCAAGCTCGAAGTTCGCTTTGTACATTACTATTTAGAGATCAATTCTCCTCCTTTAACTGTCCTTGATAACGTTAATCGTAATTTATTGTTAAAGTATAATGTTGAAATTATACGGGTCACTTTGACAAGATTATTGGAGAAAGAAGAAATGTGTAAAAACTACGTAGCAATTAATTAATATTTGTCAACTTTGTAATCTTCATTGGACTCGAAATAAAAACGTTGCCCACAATATGTTAAAGACATTTACAAAATATAATCTAATTGAATAATAAATTTTATTCATAATTCATTTACTAGAAATTTTTATTTTTTATAGAAAATATGGTAATCGCACTTCGTTTCTGCCTTCAATTTCCATCTCATCTCACATTCTTATTATCTCTTCTGTATAACGATCCATCAACCGAGCGATATCGATTACAGTTGGGACATTTTCAGTCCGTTGAGAGGAAAAACCTTTTGCAATATTCACGAAGAAAAAATGTTATTAAAAAATCCATTGCGTGCGATACGCGCAGCATTATAACACCATCCATCAGAAAAATTTTTACAGAAAAACATTCTTCTGTCACGATTTGCGAATAATATTATTTGCCTTCTCAACGTTATGATAATTATTTAGCGAATATATTACGGAAACATAATGCTAATAAAAATAGATATTATACAAGGGCGGAGATGTAAACGACATGACACAAACTTTCACTATCATAATAACGGTATGTTGTCGCAAACAACTCAGCCATTTAATCCATTTTGTCAACAATGGTTGCGGATCCGAGAGCTTATTTGCGGACGGTTATTACATAATCTAGCAGAAACCGAAAAATTTTGTTACAATAAAACAGTGTAATACAAATACAAATTTCTTTTTCATGAATTGCGTTACAATAATATTTTAATCAAATAGCTTTAATTTATTATAACGTAAACTTGTCGAATAAATTATTATTCGGAACTTAAACGCAATTAAAATGCATATCATAATTTCTGTCCTTTGATTAGAGAAAGTTGATATTCACAACGGTCGAAAGACCGTTATTAGGGAATGAATGCAGATACGGTGAACGCTAAAGTCACGTTATCTTTTTCTTAATTAATTGTTAAGAAGAAAATAACCTGACCTTAGCGTTCACTGTATCTGGATAAACGGTATTGAAAAAACTCGCTATTGTAAAAAGACAGCTAAAAATACCCGGCATTCATAAACCCAAATTAAAGTAAAAGTCACGAGTTGGGAGGAGTACCGAGTTATTCCCGAGGGAGTGCCCTATTAATATGAATATTTAGGCACACGACATCGTATTGTATGCCGACCGCTAATGCTTTTGCCTGCAGGCTCGAAACTTTCTGAAAGTAATGGGATTTAATTAATGACATTGATGCGAAAGCGCAATACAGAGTGTAATTAAAGCATACATAACGTAGGCTTTCACGTTGACAATGTTGCCAGACAAATTTCCATAAATCGTAAAGTAATTTTCCTAATAAATTAATTGTCTTAATTAAATGATGGCATTTAAAAATTTTTTGAACATTATATTAAAAGGGAATAATTTTATAATAGAATTACGAGTATAAACATCATGAAACCAAGAATATTATTTAACTCTTCCATAACAAGAAAAAAAATAAAATTAAAGTATGATAAAATAAAAAAAAATAAAAGACTTGTATAATTATCATTGCTTTAATTAAATAAAAACTATGTTTGAATACTTTCAGATGAGTTTTAGACGTTTTAGTATATAAATAAAACAAATAAAATGAATTTAAAATTTAATTGCGAAATTATCCATTTTAGAAACCACAATCGATACGTATAATTCTAATTATAATTGAGAAAATTGCGAGAGATTAAGATTACAACTTCATTGAATTCCACTAATTTTAGAATATTAATACATTCTATATAATTTTATACATTAACATATAATTAATAATGAGATGAAGCATTCAAAACACGGAATGATCGATAGGTAAACATGGGGAACATGAAAAGGTATAATTGCAACAATGGCAGCGAGTGCAGTATGTTGACGGGGGTATTCAACTGCAGCCTCGGACATTGTTCAAACATGAGCGAACTGATGCTTTGTCATCACAAGGCCGACGGTATTGTTATCGATAGCGAGAAGGATAACATGAAACTGAATGGCTTCTTCAGCTGTCAACACTCCAGATGCACGAAAATCAAGACTGCTTTCACTTGCGACCGATACTGTCCGAGCATTAATACTAGCGACGTGAACGTGTATCTAATGCAGGACAACAGTGTGATATCAGCCAAGTGCTCTCGTGGGATGGCCTTGAACAGAGCGAATGGTAGCCTACCTGGTATCAAATTGGACAAGCCTGTTAAAATCTGGGACGATAAAAACGGCAGTATCGTCACAAGCTGTTTCGCCGTAACGAAGAACGACAATGTCATCAGGTAATGACGAATATTAATATCAAAATCTTATGACGACGAATTTTCTAAACCATTCACAAAAAGAAAAATTTTGCTGACGTATTTAAAAATTTAGCCAAATTTGAAAATAACTTTATTGGACGGCAAAATAATTTTGTTGGAGCTTCAAACTAATTACTAGAACGTCAAAACTTTTCGCAGAGTTGATCATCGCGCTTCAACAAAGTCGTCCTTTTCATTTATGAATTTATTCTATTAAAATTTTATTTCGTTAGTTACAAGACAAAGAATAGAATAATTGAAATATCATTAAGAAATAAATAGAATAAGCATTAAAAAGTGTGATTATATGAAAAAATATGTTAATATTTACATTGCAATTAATTATATATTTACTATACAAAGAACGCAAATTTTATATAAATTGTTAACGTATTAATTATATATTACGTATTAAATTTGAACGTTAATTAAAAAAAAAAATCTTATATCGCTGTTAACAGATTAACTATTGCATTCATTCACTCTGTCACACCTTTGATAAGTGCCTTAAATGCACAGAAAAGGGACTCAATGAGACGCAAAAAAGTCTCAAGAATTGAATTACCATTGATAGATGGCATTGGAGCTTTATTGATTGAATAGGGAAAATACTTTTGTCTCATTCTTTTCCCTCCAGCATCGTTTCAAAGAGGATTCATAACATCGTCATATAAGAGTATTAATCAATTGATAATACGATAATACTAATAATTTTAACGTATTTTATGCGTAAGATAAAATTATTACATTAAAAAATGTTGTATTATATTATTATACAATCACTACATAAAATGTATTTAATTTATAACATTTATGTAATATTATTCATGAAATGTGTATTCAAGCATGATCCTATTTATTATATTAAGTTTCTCCAGGCTAAGAAACAGAAATTTTATTGAATCATCAACAACTATAAAGAGAACAGGAAATACATTAATGACAAAAAGAAACTAGAATATTAGGGCCACCATACCAATGATAGAGAAAGGGAACTAAAATATTGGGGTGTACCCAGTCGCAGGATCAATGGTTGCTATGGAAATACCCTATATGAGTCTATAAGATATCGAGTATAGAGAAAAACGATGCAGGCTTTTATGATAGAATTGATCCCAATAAACTTGTCTATAAATATTTAATTTTAATTCGTATCCTTGCTCGCAGATATATTGAACATAAAAAATTCAAACATACATATATGTAATAACACTTTTTCGTTAAAAAGATATACAGAAATTGCGATGCTTTATAATACGCGTGAAAAACAATTATCTTTTTAAATTTTATTCACAGTTATGTGTATTTCTATCATTCACATCTTTATCATTTTGTTATGTAACAAGATCAAAATTGCGATATGTCATCGTTATCATTTTTGTTGACATTCGCAGCACGGAGGACTGCGTGAATGGTACGTTGTTGGGTGAGATTCTTGTTCCCAAACCGTCCATTAATTTCACGAGCTTCCTGAAAATTTATGAGAAGAGCCTGCGGTATCCGGCGGACCCCACGAACGCCTATGTTCCGGCACAGCAATCTTTGACCATCTACAACAGCTCGCGATTGTATATCAACCTCGAGCGTTGCGTCAACACCTTGAGAGGCGAGTGTAGACAATTTCAGCTCACTCACGGTCGTGATGGCGACAATCAGACCGCCCAGAGTCGGTATCCCTGTTATTACAACAAGGTAAGACATTTTCTGTCTAAAGAGATTTGACAAACGCACGAAGATTCCATATCAGATGTATAGTTTCTATGTGCAAAATGTGACTGGAACTGGAAATTTATACTTTTAGTAAAAAAATGAACGTTAATTCGTATGAAACAGTTCAATAAAGTCAATATTTAATGATATATTTAATAATATAATTTTATAGTTTAAATAAACATTTTATCATTTTATTTTTTAATTTAATTATTTTTTGAAAAGATATACCTACTTCTCATTAAAATAATTTTTGATAATAATTTTTTATTTCTAAATCGCCGCCAAACCTCTTTTGTAGATATTACTTTCAAATACAATATAAAAAAATCTGTAATTTTTTCATAATTTTTTATTTAAAAAAAATTTTGTACGTGCAAATATATTCTTAAGCGGATTTAATTCACTTTCCTATATATAGAGTGGCAATTATGCTATGTAAAAAAATATATAATGTATCTTGTAACAAGTAGGTATGTTTTTTTTGGCACAGAATTATATTTCTTGCTGAAAATCAAAATAACTTCTTTTTAAAGAAGATTTTACGATTTATGTATTTTAAAAAATTATAAAAAAATTAAACTTGACAAATAAGGCAAAGCACGATTTAATTGATAGAGAAAAAATTATTCTAATTCCCTTTTCCCCATGAAAAATATTGTAACTATTGTTGATTGTTATCTCCGGTATAATTGTAAAACATTAATAGATGGGCAATTCTTATTCATGTGGATGCACATATTACGCAGAACGACTCGTTGTTCGTGGTTGCACGGTTCGATCTGAAGAAAACACGAATGGAGCTGTTGATCGCCGTTATCGTGCCGGCTGGACTCTTCATCATCAGTGTGATCACCCTGATTGTCATTTCGCGATCGGTGCAGGTGGGAGACGACGCGAAGATGCGATGTAGATACTGCGTTGACAAGCAAGAGGTCGAGGGCGAGGACCAAGGACTCGTGGAGGTAACGTCCTCCACGACTCAAAGTCAGGTCAATGAGAACGAGATTAGAAGCATGACCCTTTAGCAGTACAAGCCGCTCGGCATAGGCACTACGTTGGGTTATGAAAGGCTGCCATTGATCGATATGGACGAGGCTGAGGATTCCTTCTAGAAGAAAATGCGAGACCTAACTTTCGAAAGATCGTGATGCTAGAAAGATCCATTCAAGACAAAACTCTACAGAGAAAATCCGAACATGTGAGTAAAATTAAATTCTCGAATGGACATTAACGTCGTCTTCCGGAATGAGATGTAATCAATTTCTTTACTGTTACAATTATTATCATTGTAACGCTCAATGACATGGACGTTACAATGATGTGACTGATCGTTGTGTTTGAAATGAAATTTAAATTCAAGTGATCTCTGCCAATGAAACTCATCGAAAGTAACCCATTCAGGGTCCAAGTTAATATTATTGACTCTTTAATTATATATTGATGCGATATATTTGTAGGTATGTTCACTGTTGCCTTCGATGTATTATTTTGTTTGCGCGCAATACAAACGAATTGACACTGGTATCACACAGAATCATCGGTACATAGTTTTAAGATTTTGTCTCCAAATATATTTAGGAAACTTTCATAAAAAATATGTCTTTCTTTTACTTCAAAAGTAACACAACTAACAATAAGAATATGATTTTGTAGTTATTATCATAAACGAGATAAATATTACCTTCAATCATCAAAAGTGAATTAATTTAATTTCGTTATATATAAAATATCATCAAAATCGTCACAACTAAAAAAGCGTGGTTTAAAAAAAGTTGTCAAAATCTTTATTGTTAAAAGAGGGTAATTTTTTTTAAGAGTTGTGAAACGAAAATGACAGTTGATTATGTTAAAAATATATTTTTTTTGTTGATTATTTGATTAATCGATAATTTTCTGTCAAGTTAAAACATAGTTCTTCATTTTTTATAGAAACTTTGACTTAATTTTTTGAGTTGTATTACTTTTGAAGTAAGGAAGCGGTATGTAATATACAATTGTTTAATGCCACCGTGTTTTAACAAATGCTAACAATGATGGCGTTAAACAACTGCATCTCCGTACAATATGTACGAATAAAGAAAACCAAACAATTCATTAATCAACGAAACGGAGCGAGTGATGGAATGGATAAACGCTGAAGAGTACTTCGCGAGACAATATTCTTTTTTTATACGAAAAAATTCGCGAAAAACACGACATGAACAAGCTTATTTATGTACATCGTGTAGGATAATACGACAAGACTTATCGCTCGTTTAATATTCGGTTAACAACGAACATGCATTTATATTTTTTCTACATCCACTTATTGTGTGCTACACTTGTTAGTTGTAGTTAACTCCGTATTATTACCGTACTGTGATTAGATATATGTACGAATCTAATGCTGGTGAAAACACTTAATATGATTTCCTATTTCTGATACGCGAACTCGAGTATTATGACTGCCTACGCATAAATTATAATAGATACATTGTATATTACATATACTTATGATACATAAATATCAGTATCTTACGATGTAAATATATATATATATATATGTATAACATGCTTTCAACGAGACATTTATATGTATATTCGTGATGATCAACGTTGCCTCAATTTTCGTGCCAGTTTCGTGTTAGCGTGTGTTTCAAGTCAATCAAAATAATATCCTTCATATAATAAATATTCGAAATATTTGATATAATTAACAAATGTGTTAATTAATGAAATATGAAATTTTATAACAAGAAATTATAGAGAAAACGCAATATCATAAAATTGTTTGTAGTTTTTAATTACTGAATTTCATTTCACTTTTAATATTCTTCAATCTTACTAAAATAAAGTAATAAATAATCTTCTCAAGAGAAATAATTAGCACAAAAAGTAGTAATTTGATATTTGATATAATTTGACTTTTATTCTTCATGCTATTTACTGATGAGTTTATTTATTGAAAGAAAGAAAGTACATATTTTTTAACTTTTAACTGAAATTTTTATGAAAGAATTGATAGAAATACACTCGCATTCAGCAAGGTGAAATACAGGCTTTAAATAGGTAATAAGTTAATATAATCTCACGCAAGTAACTACACATGTGTACGCAAGAAGAGTAGCTAGAAGTTATCAGGCAAGAAAAAAAAACTGTTCTGATGTCACTATACTCTATGTGCCTTCTTCCGCTTTCGATGAAGCCAGTAAAATGTACCTATTAATGTTTGCAAATACATAATCAGAGACACAGAGGCTCTAAAGAAAAGTCTTTCGCTCTCGGAAACAAACATAAGAGTTATTCTGTTACTTCTGTTATTTCTATTCTGTTGTAAAAACAGAGGAGTACCGGTTTGTAAATAAACGTTTAATCTCATGTGTACTTCTTTCTAAAAATCATTAAATGGATCATGTAGTCATGAAAGCGATGTGATCGACAAACGATATTTTGATCCGTTAAAAACGAACAGAAAAGTATTAATGAACAAATGGGATAATTAGCGGGACGTTCCTCGAAACGTTTTTTAAAGAATACCGATTTTGAGGGAACAATGCAAAGTAATTTATCGCTAGTAAAGAATATGCAATTATGCAAATAATGAACAACTGTATATAATTAATTATGTATCTGACTCAAGAAGGGCTAATTCTCATATGTATAATTATTGCTAATAGCTTAGTATATAGATATATGTGTATAAATAGAACAATTCTGTGGTATGCCTTTATGACAAATACGTTTGTGAAATATATGAATGTGCCGACTGTAAAATATAATTTCTTTTTTTTTAATAAAGTTTCTTCACGTGTGCAAATTGCCACAGTCTTATTCGCATATTTATTCGCATCTTATTTTATCTTTCGTTCAAAGTATAATTAACTCGCTCAAAAATATACCTCTTAGTAAACAGTTCATAATAAACGTTGCGTGTCCACGCGATTGTAAAATACGATATGGAAAAGGGGACAATCGAAGAAAAAGCTTCGTTAAATTTATTTGTACGTTCCCTGTAATAAAATAATGAGAAAGTAGAAAATTTTCTGCCTTTTAAGAACTCCTTTCGTGATAAAAGAGCGATGCGCACATCGAATCATAATAAAATAATATCGTCGCACCTTGCGTGTTACGAAGCACTTCGTGCCGAGGGCATCACTCGAAAGTCCTGCTGCGCAAGAACAAAAATGCTTCTCATATCTGCCGTTCGTTTGTAATATGCCCATGCAAATTAATCTATCGCGGAGAACATTTTCTGACCTTGGCGAAAGGCATACAGTTTTATTCCTCTATAATCTAGCACAAAATTGCAGAGCGATAGAAAAATTTTCTTTGAAGAAATTGACTATTTCTTGGAATCTTCTTGTATAGCTCACATTTTTGCAGAAATACAAATTATATTCTTTGCATTTTGTTATGTTATAGTTATAATATGCCGTATTATATTATGATGTTATATATATATTAAATATTATATATTATATATGTATACATATATAATGTATATATACATATATATCTATACATATATGTATATATGATTAATAAACCGGAGTATAAAATATGATCTTTTGATACCTGCATAAAATGTTTCATACTATCTAAACGTTTTTATCTACATAAAAACAATCAATCATCGTCATGATTAATTAATTCTTATCTTTTCGAACTGTTTCATCTTGTAAGTTCTATCGTTCCCTCAAACTACTAAAATGTGATTGTATCGTTTCGGTGAAAACATACGCGAGACTGAATTGTCATCGACCTACATTCGCAATAACTGCAGATTAAAATCAAGTGCGTCCTGTCAATCACGAAGCTTGTCGCTCAATATTTGAAGGATCCTTCATAATGCAGGCACCGTTACATGCTCATTATCTCGCATCGCAATCTACAGAGAAAAAGAGAGAGGAAGAGAGGGAGGGAGGGAGAGAGGGAGGGAGGGAGAGAGGGAGGGGGAGAGAGAGAGAGAGAGAGGAGACAGTAAGAAAGCCATTAGATAGAATTTCCCATTTACTCATCAACGTGTCGCAAAAAGCTTGTAAAATGGTTTGATGTCTGATGGAAAGTCCTAGGTCAACATAAAAATGATGACCAAATAATGGAAGCTTTCAGACATCAATTTCAGAGGACCGCATTACGTGATAGGACAACCAACCAGTGAATAATATAATAGAGATACGTGACCGCAAGCGAATTGTGTAACAAAAAACAAAAGATAGTTATTTGGATTTGAAAGCTTCGCTACACCATAGGTAGATACAAATAGAAATTGACCTATTACACATCGTTAGTATATTGCTTAAAAATAGCAGCTTAATATTGATGCTATATATCTATCATATATTTAACAATAAATTTTTGAAAAATGCTAAATCAGTCTAAAGTTTTTCCCTTTACATATAATTCTGTGAGATACAGAGCTTTATAAAAATAATGAACATGCGTAACGAGTGGATATATTCATCATGTTACACAACAGTATTCTTTTGTAGACAAATCAACTAAAAGGAAACTAACTATTTTGTAGTCGAGTAACATCGATCGTTACATATTACACAGAGAAAAATATATCGAATTAAGATAAAAATTTTATTGAGAATTCTAACGTGGTAAAAACTACGCTTTCGTTCTCTAACGAAAGAAAATATTGAAACTTAGGGACGGTCATTGGACGAACTGAACAAATTACGTTGCAACAAACACTGTGGCCTGTTTCTGTCGTTCTCTTAAGGAGAGCAAATCAAACGTCATGAAAATTCACGGACGCAATTTCCTGTGAGACACATATCGATTAGAGACTAAATTGACCGATGATTCTTAAGGAGATTCTCTTAATGAGAATACAATATTTTTTTTTATTATATTCATTTAAGTCTCTTTAAGATGAGATAAAATACGAAGTACATTAATGAAGCAATCAATTTTATAAATTAAAAAACTTAATAAATTAAACCTAGTTTCCGCTATATCCATTGATTAATGCGAAGTTTCGACGGAATAACAAATTATTAAGATGTTTAAAAAAATTCTAATAGTTTCTCTTTTTCTATTAATGGTAGTAGCACTAATTTAAACTTTATAATAGGGACTGAAAAATTAATTTACTAAGTGCTTTAAAATTAATTTTGATAAAAGAACAAGCTTAGATATCAGTATTCCCGTTACATAATAATAACAATTATATTAATATTATTGTTATAATCATTATCGTTTCAATTTATATGATTTATAAAGTTAATATATTCCATATTGTTATTTTTTGAAAATTTGAAACAGCAACCTTGCAAAATCATTAATTTTGCTATACGTAATATATTCTATTATAAATTTTAAGAGACAGATTTATTTATATATTCTGTATATTTTTTTGCATTCTTTTGCCATAATACACATATTCCATAATCAATTAAAGTTTGAAATTAAGCTTTCAAAGAAACGATGTGAAGAAAAGATAAACTAATTTAGTTAATTAGTCCTTGACAAAATATTATGATCTACGATTATTCAAGCGGACAATAGTTTGGGAAGATTAGCATACCTGTTGCTACCTAAAGAAAGTTCTTTCATGTATTTCGTATACTTCAGGATAATAGAAATAGATTAAATAGAACACGAGGTATGTATAATAGATTATCTTGAAACAGTAGCTTCTCTTAATTGATTATTAATCTTTATATAATCGCTATACGTTGAAGTCGTACCAGATGCTATTTGCTGCGACTCCAGATCAATAATGGAAACAATAGATATGGGATATTTGCTTCTACGAGAGTTCATTATACCTATCTTTTACACTAGTATTCATAGTCTCATATTTAAGATTGTCTTAAGTACGGTCTTAAGCTATCACAAGCCAATCACAGAGCAGTATTAACATCTTAAGACATATTTAAGGTGATTTTAAAATCAGAATAGACTATGAATACCATCATTAGTCTCTGCAATTGTATCCATAATGATTAAATTATTTAAATAAACTATTTAAATTAATATGCATTTATATATTATATTACGTTACTATTTTAAATTTAAACTATTAAAAATAAGCCAAAAATATATGTACGTAAATAAAAAATAATTTATAGACAATTCTATACTTACTAACAATTAAATCACAATTATTGCGTATAAAATAATTTTATAATAAAATTTTATAATAAATTTTATAAAAAAGTAACTGTCATAATTTGAAGAAGAATATCTTCATTTTAATATAAATGGAAATAATTAATGTACAGACAAACTGTGATATTTTATATTATACTGCGATTTTATATCGTGAGTACTTTAAACTGCGTAAATTAAACGCCTGTATTAAAACAATATATTATTATTAAAATATTGCTTAAATCAACGTAGTGTTACAAATCGTAGAATTCTAAAATTAAATTTATTTTTGTTCAATGCTTCAGAAGTGTTGGATTAGTGGAAGAGAAAATTTGCAATTAGAGAAGGCTCGTGTCAACATAAACGGCTCGAAAGATCAGTATCTGCTTAAACAAGCTTGCGAGCTGTTCTGAAATAAGTTACCCTACTTCGAATAGGGCGTGCAGAGGACACGCGTGTGATCGATAGGCATGTACTATCTTTTCCTATAAGCACATGGATCAATGGAAGCGACTTAGAGGTACGTTCTTGCTCTGGAATATCTCATGAGTAGTAATCAAATCGATTCTGTCTTATAATTCTTTAAAAATATACTGCAAATTTTGCAATATCAATTATTTTATTGATAAAAAATTATGAAATTTTTAGAAAATTCTGCAATTATTTCTATTTCTGACTTGTACGTGCTATTGATTTTTGAACGAGCATTTAGGGATAAAACAGAACGCGTCAAGCTCGACTACAGCTTGATCACCATTTGTTGTTAACGTCAATGTTACTTGATAATCTTTTCAAATTTTTTGAGATCCAATTAAAACGAGTTGATGTACGTTTTTATGATTACTACATTTTATTTGTCAATATAACTATAGTTATTAGAGAAATATACTTTATCGTACGATTCATCCGAGATATTCTTATCATCAATGTATACGAAAAGACACTTACCTTCAGCTGTTCTTGACGACGATACGCGTGCAACATTAACTGTTTCCGTTCATCTTCTGACATTAACGGTTCCCTCGCCGGTTTTCCAGATCCTCTCTTTTGTAGTTTCACGATCACCTTGGTTTTCTCGTTATTACCCACGAAGTCCTTCATCTTCTTCCCAGGTAATAACTCCTTTCCGGAGAACCATAGTTGAGCCAGTTGCACATCGATTACCTGCAATAAGCGTGTGTCTTTCTAAATGTCAATGAAGATGTCGCCTATTTCCAAACATGCTGAATTTCTTCACAAACGATACAAAAACTTAAAGAACGTTTTCCAGATTGGCTTTTCCTTTTAGTCTGTACAATATTTTTTAATATAAGACAGATTAAATTTGCTTGTATGTGCGTATAACATTTTTGCATTTTGTCTGAGCGTCCTCTTAATGTACATTTTTAAAAAAATACGTCTCTTATTTTTATCTCTATTTTAACATATGCAAAGCTTATTAAAATTGATAGAGGATATATTACAGTTTTTAAAACAATTGTCTTATATTGTCATATTAATTATAAATATTTAAAACACAATACATACCTCGAGAGAAGCTTGAGTACCGGTGAGATCTTCGGTATTTTCAAACTCTTTACATATTACATCGTGTGGTGGAAGTCCCATCGGATAAACGATCGTCACGGCGCCTCTTAACAAATCCAGAGCTTCTTGAATTATCTTTTGAGTAACCAATTTCTCTTGTTGCACTAATTTCTGCAGTCATATGAAATAATATTATAAGAATTTGTTAACCGAAAGAGTAAAATGTAGGGTTGGTAAAAAAACATATTTTTAACGTGTTTTAAACAGTTTAGTTGATGTTTTTAATACGTTTTAAATATGTTTTTTTTTAGTACTATTTAAAGCATATTTGAAATATGAGTTAAAAACACATTTAAGAAGAGACACAATATGTTTTATTCTTAAAAAAAAAAATTAGTGTTTATATCAACCCTGATAAAATGTAACAAATTAAATTGCACTTACTTTCGATGTCATGATACGTGCATCCTCAATAGTTTTTTTCAGCACCTCCTGCATCTTTTCGTTGGGTTGTCTACCATTTCTACGACCTGTATTTATCTAAACTCAGTCTTAATTTATTATGTGAGATGTACATATAATTTCAAATATAATTTCGCGCAATTTATTTGAGTATTTTTAATAAAATTTTATATTACTTTATAAATATTTGTAAAACTAAAATAAGAGATTCGATAACAAAATATTTCATGCACCTTTTTTATACAATAGTAAGATTATTTTTGTTACAAAATATTAAAAAATAAAATATTAAAATATATTAGTTTTACGATAATTATTTTAAAGTTTTATTGACATTATTAAAAGGCAGAGAAAAAAACAGACAAATAGAGAAAATATACATTAATAGAAATTAAAAGCTATCAAAAGTAAAAAAAAAAAAAAGAAAATATATGATAATTTTAGTAGTATATTAGCTTGCGTTTACCCATCATAAAGAAAATATGAAATAAATAAAATATAGATAATTAATATCACAAATTATAAGCTAATATAAAAAAAAAATGAATATACATACTTTGCTTTATTTATTAGCTCCGCAGGTATTTTTATTTTTTGAAAGTTCGTATGAAAGATTCATGATTCATTATCGATTATGCCAAGAGGTGTTAATTTTTACAGTTAAATCTATTATTATGCGATGCCGGCGAAAAATGTTACGTACCGATCTTGTCTTTGTTGAAAGTCCAACCGCCCATGGGCACGCACTTGTCGGCCCATTCGTCCTTGAGTTTGAGCTCCTTGACCTGATCGTCCGTGAGGCCCATTATGTCAGGTGGTAACATCACGCCGTGCTTAGCCAGCTCCTCGATCTCTGTTTTTCACGAAAGAGATACTCATGAGAGGGCAAACGTGCGAGAGGAAGAGTGAGCGACCGTATTCAAGTATATAAGTCCGTATAATTATCCCGCGTGACTAATATCACACGATGGCCAGGATAGATGGGTTCATAAACTCAAGCCTCGACTTCTTATTACATGCTGTTATTACTAGCCGCGGATGTGCTCTGAAGAGATAATCACTAATGGATTTTTCGCGTTAATATTCTGACTGCAAGGCCTGCCGCGCAAGTTCACCTCGTTCTACAAAAGCTCGTAAAAAAACTATTGGTATTGTCTTCACTGCAGATTATTCGTTTCTTATAGACTGTTATATACTGTCCAATATTTCTTATAACTTTATTTTTAATTATATTTAAAAAACTTAATTTTGTATCATAAGAAAGTAATGGTATCGCGAATAAGATGTAACATATATAAAAAAATTTTTTAATATTTATTCTTTAATCTTAGAATATGTTATGGTTCTTCAAAGTAGCCGAAATAATTCGAAATTTCTTAACTGTATGTTTAATTCTATTTTCTTAATATTTGAAGTAACCTGCCACTGTAAAGAGTACATAATAAATTTACCATAACAAATTCTTGAAATCTTCAAACGACCATTGTAGATCACTACGATGTCAGATATGACATCGTCCACATTCGCCTCCACATCGGTATCATATAAAAATTGGTTGTCGTCACCTTTCTTTACGTGCAATCTCACCATTTCTATCAAATCAATATTTTCAATTTTCAACTAAAATTGAAATTTCTGTGCTATTAAAATATTTGTAAACTTAAGGTTTTTGATTGAGACAATGGATGGTTACTAATTATAATTATTAATTTAACTTGAACATCAAAATGAATTATGCTAAGTGCATCAGCGGGTTGTCACGAGAAACCACGAGGAGAACTAAACATCCAACGATCCAACATATATTGGCCCAACAAAAGCCTGAACAACGTCAGGATGATGCATCGTCCATAGTAACACAAGTTATTGATTAAACAACGTGAATACAGCTATCATGTGAAAGAAATTGGATGACTAAAATGTTCGCACAATTGATAAACAGCTGAAAAAGAATTAGGCTGACCAAATAATAGCGGTAATGAAGGAGAGTAATGAAAGCGGATCGATAAGAATAGGAAGATGTTTCTTAATGAGTATATAACTTTGTGTTGCTCATTATTATATAATATACATATTTACATTCTAGTGGAACACGGATTACAAGAATAAAGACGTTCATATATCGTTACAAATTTGAAGAAACGCCGACAACGCATCTTCATTTTGGTCGTCGTGTTTCTACTGGCGTTTTGACACAAAAATATGATATATTTGTATGATTGCTTAACGTCAATATATAATATATATAGCAGCAATTAATAATATTTTAAATATTTTCGGCGCAACGTTGCACAATAAAAATCTATGTCATAATCCATAATTCTCGGCTATAATGTAAGTGACTAGTATTACGTTAAAATACACTTAGAGTTTCAATTCGATGAGGTGCATCTTACGCAGGTCATTTTCCTGTTTGAGGTTCAAACAAAATGATCCATGGGCGTAACAAATGATTGGTTTTAATCCGTCAAATAAAATTTTGTTATGACTGTTACACATCATGTCGTCGAGTGATGCGCATGCTGGAAATTTCAATCTGGTTTTCTCTTCTTTTATCACTTTTAACTGTCTAACGTTCCATCCAGTTATTTGTTACGCCCACGTGATGGTCCCTATGATAATTGTTGCATACGGACATGTCAAACGATTAAACATCCTAAGCGTGTGTCCTAAATTCGCGAGCGCAATTAGTTGACTCGCGATGATTCCGAAATAGATACGGCAAAAATGAATATCTTTTCTTGTTCATTTTAACTCTTAACATCGACACGAGTAACAGTGATAATTGCTTACGTCGAGTGGAGTCGTCATCACTCGTGGAACATGATGGAACAACGAGATTTGGAAACTTACACTTTACTCAAAATCCTTTCGCATTGCTCGAACTGCCGCGGCCATTGTGACCTCAGCGGTAAATCTATGATAACGAGCAGAGCTGCACAGTGCACTGCTTTATTTACACAAATCGCTATATGAGAAATATTTTTAGTTTTACAAAAATAAAAAAGTTTAAAATATTTTATCAATTATAAGTAAAAAGACAAAATAAAATCACATTTGGTGCTGTAAGAAAACAGAAACGATAGGTATAACTTTCTCGGAAATATGTGTATATATATAGCCATAAGTTATTTTTACTTAAATGTAGCCTCACTATGTATTTTTTCACACAACTTAAACGGCGCAGCAGTGCATCATGTAACTCCGACACTGAAACGGCGTAGTTCTCTCTTTTACATATAACAAACACGTGCTTATAAGAGCACATTTATAAATAGATACACGTGTACATGCGTACGCGACATCTATATATTGGTTCGTCTACGTGTGACAACACTTATGAGAGAGGAAGAAAATTCCTCTATCGAGACGTGAGTCGACTACTTTAATGTGATACTCTATGTGATAGAAAAATTGGTATTTGGTCCAAAACAAATATATGAAATGCATGTGAAATATATATTCTCAAACAATACCCTATCTAGGCTTCGTCCCATTTTTAGAAGCCTGACGGAAACATTAATCGATCAACATTGTCATTATAAATGGTAACGAACACCGTCAACTTAGATGCGGTTTCGTTTACAACTGTCACTGTAACTGATTGGTGCATTCTACAAGTTTGAATGATTCTGCATAGCGACATTTTATTACGATTCGGTCCCACGGATTCATTTGTTCATCTTAAAAGCTTCATCAGGACATATATTATGGTTGTGCTCAATTATAGAAAAATATTTGACATGCAATCCAGTAATAAAATTTTGTTGCAAAAATAAAATATTAAAAAAATTTAGTTGTATCGTAATTTATATTATAATTTGTACAAGTCGAAATGACTTTTTGTACCAAGAAATTTTATCGATTTTATGATTTTATAAGAGAAAAATATCGTTAATATTAACTTCATTTGCTCATCTTAAAGTTTCATCACGGCACACACATATTATGAATGTGCCTAGTTGTAGAAAAATATTTGATATGAAGTCTAGTAATAAAATTTTGCTGCAAAAATAAAGTATTACAAAAATTAATTGTATTTAATTTATATTATAATTTATACAAGTTAAAACAATGACTTTTTATATCAGGAAGTTTTATCGATTATGATATTGTGAGAAAAATATCATTAATATTAACTCTTGCTCTCTCTCTCTCTCTCTCTGATGTATCGTACTATTTTATTTTTATCGAAGATATGAACTTGCTACAGTATAGAATAAACCCATGAAGTCGCTATTTTCATATAAACACATACACATAGTCGTCGAAAACACCGAATGACGTTCATCTTCTATCTCGCAACGGAAACGTTTATCGGCCGTTTAATCTTTCAGCATTAAAATGCGATGAAATTAAAAAATTGCAGCAAGACGCAATTTCAGATATCGCACCCAATTGCAAACAAACGAGTTGTTCTTTATATTCCGAAATGGCCGATTTATTAAGACGCGCGTGAGCCATCTTCATTACAATTGTTCAGTAAGATTGACATTCTCATTCTTTATATCCCATCCCTTACAACTTTCATGACAAACGGACGGCAAGATTTTTGTATAGTAAACGTCATACGGGGGATTCTATTACTATACTACTATACGATAAAATAGATTGCTTATCTCAAGTTCAAAAACAGTTGCTGAACAAAGCTAACTACGACATCGGTGGGTTTTGGTTACTGATCGCGCTGATCGAGATTATTCCTCATCGATAGTAGGCTGGACTTGTAATACGTCCTTTAGGATCCTGTTGTCATATTGCTGCTCATCGGGTACTTGGAGAGTAGACATGGACGTGGAAGTGGAAGTGAACGTGGAGGTGGACATGGAAGTAGAAGTGGAGGAGGAGGAAGAGGACGAAGAGGAGGAAGGAAAAGAAGAACCGTGCAACAATAGCTGTTGCACGGTACTCTGTTCTCAAACTTTACTTTCAGGTCCGTCAGTGGTGTGCTTGAAAGAATTACGGATTTTGCTGAGATGAAGGGCAGCGATATGTCCATAGCTCTTATTGTACCATTCAGGTGTGCGTCCCCTGAAAACAAATTATTTCATTTGAATTCTCGTCTAATTTCAAGAGTCTATTTAATATAAATTTATTTCAAATAAATGAAAGAATTATTTTTTAATAAGTAAAGATAATTAATTAATATTAAATAAATAAAGATAAATAATTCGCACTTCAAATAAATTTTTGTAAACCATTTCTAAAAAAAAGTCAAGAATCGAATAAGATGAAGTGAGTTATACGTATATTTAAGAAAAACATTTGATATTACTTACTTTGTATCGACTCTGGATAAATGCATAATGCGAGATTTGCCGCTGCCACATGGTTCGATAAGATAACGTGAGGCCAAAACGATACCGCGAGTTCCTCCAAGCATGACAGGGGCATCTGGATGTTGCACGGATGTTTCGACAATGACGCAAGCACCTTTAGGAAGATCATTCCGCCAAGATCTGCAAAAATTAATTATACTAATTAGAAACTATAAACATCTCTATTAATCATTCACGGAAAATGAAATATTTGTTATTTATAAAAATACAATAATTTTCAGATGTTTTCTTTTTATTTAAATTGAATAAAAAAAATAAGTGATTTGATCATGACAACTGATGTAACTTGATTAATTCACCTTAATACACAATAATCTCGGGCGGGCAGCGGACTCATGTTCCCGGTGGCGTATTGGAAGACCTCCACATTGGTATCCAATTTGGTCACCAGTCTGTATTTTAAAAGTTGTGGATCCCAGATGTGTCTTTCTCTTAGCACACGATGTAACAGCTCGTTTGGAGGAGCTTCGACTTCGGTTGATACTCGCCAGAGACGAAGCGGATGTCCATCGCCAACCTTTTTATATGCCATTTCTACGCTGTTGTCAGCAGGATTGCTTACTGTGACCCAACCGCGACTTCTGCTAGAACGAATTACAATCTTCAATTCAGCGCATTATAAATCTTCTGTTAATCTATTTATTTTATTATTTTATTACTTGTTATTTTGTTATTTTATTACTGTTTATTTTATTACTTGTTTGATCTTGATTCGATATATTGTATTCTTTTCAATCTTTCTTTCATTTATATTTGTCTATATAAAGATATATAACTTTGATTTGAAAATTTTTAACCGTTTCCATTATTTTTTTCACAAACGAATAAAATCATAATAATGACAAGTACTCACTTTTCTCGCGCTTCCTTCAGCAACGCCGTGGTACAGGCGTACAGGTATCCCCTCCAATCCTGCTTCAATTCCGAACCGAGTTCCTCCAGAGCGACTGGAATGCTCTCTTCCATGTAATTAAAGTGACACTGCGTCAACATGTCCGACGAGACCTGAAAGAACCGGAAGAGGCATGAGCCGTGCCCTTCCCTCGTTCACGCTTGTGATCGAACCAAGCGTGCGAGCGATCGCGATCGACGAATAACGATGCTTCAGCACTCACCATGAATAATTCACGATGCATCTTGACCAGATACAGAAGACAGTCGTGAGCAGCTTTATTTTCCGACAATTCTCGCTGATCGGGAATGCCCACAGTCTTTCGCCTACGTGGCGACACGCTGCTCGACCTGTTAGTCACGTTCGTGTTACTGTGGTTGAAGTGAAACAGGCTCGGGGCTAGACACACA